CAACTTCTGCGCGACGATCCACCTACCAACCCTCGCCGACTCCACGGCGCAGGGTTACCGGCGTGCGCCACCCAAAACGATGGCTCGTTGTTGTCCTTGACTTTTCCCCCCTACCCCCTGCAACAGGGGGTAGGGGGCAAAACGAAGACGGCCCAACGCCTATGCGCAGTCGCGCTCTCGTGAGCCCATCGGTTGAGCTGCCACCTCTTGACGCATAACAACAACCGGGACATAGGAAGAAAGAATATCTCGCACAATACCCAGGAGGGTGAACCACGCGTAAACGCATTGTCTCGTCAAAGTCAACGCGATTTCTTTTCATTAAGCTTGGAGGCGGCGCTTATCTCCTGTTTGTGGCCCTGAGCCAGTGGTGGAAATTCTACGTTTCTTATTATGAGGACAAGTATATCTATGCGACAGTCACTGTTGTCTTCACCAGAAATTGGTACTCGTTTTATTGACCCCTGAAGGATGTTGGACTGTGTCCACCCGCCCCCAACCACGATTTGAATGCACTCGCTGCTGTTGAGCCGCCTGGCCGGAGTGGTGCATTAATACTGCACAACAAACTAAAATCGGGGGAACCTGTAAACGTCCCGGCAAGATTGACACTTTTCCCTCGGGTCATCGGCCCCAGAAAACCAAAACAGGCAGAAATACCACTCGAGATTGTGCGGGTCGCTGATGCCAAGTTAGGTTGCATTTAAGGAGACCAACGGACATAAATCTCTTGCACCCAAGAGCTCTTTTTCAATCGCGGATTTTCATAATGAAGAAACCCTCTGGTGCAGTAGAACGCTGAATGGGTGCTGATGGGCTGGCTGATGAAACACTTGGTTTACTGCCTCCGGGCGCATGCTTCTGGTAACATTCGTAGTTTTATCCTTCGGTGACTCGCTTACAATTTCCATGGACAGATTTGCAATGCTGCTTAGTAGTGTTCGAGGATATTTTTACTTATAAAATGAATCTCCATCTCAATAACAATAACAGTTCAGATGCCAGGTGCATCGTTACATGGCAGGATCATGAGAGGTGGTAGCTTGAGCGAGGCCATCATCCAACTGTGGATTAACCATGGCTGGTGATCCAGGAAAGCTTCATTGTGAATCAAGACTCATTTTAAATTTGGTCCTGCCTTGGGATCTTCGGTCAGTTCCATTACTGAGTGTTTGGCTTTACGTCGGAGGAAACCAGATCAACCAGAGAAAACCCGCACTGAGTGCCATCTTCTGCCCCCATCTGAGCTCCAGCACCTGGTAAGCCTCAGTGGTCACCCAGTGAAGTACCATTCGGGCTTAACCCTTTGCTTAGCTTCCAAGACTGTAATCTATGTTAACGAGCCAAGAAAGTCATAACAAGAATAATACATCTTTGGTTCTTTCGGTAAAGTCACGTAGAATGAGAATAAAATAATAAATTGATAAAATAAAATAACAATATTATCACGACGTTTCGGCCACAACACAAGCGGCCTTCATCAGGTGAAGGGACGAGACTGTCTGGTAGGACAGCGCTGGAGTGAAAATGCCACGCTCAGATCACGACCTTTAAGCTGTGTGAGAAGAATAATAAAGGCTACATGTGCGTTGCCTTTGCGTTTTAACGGTATGCGCGTCGTAGAATCTTCGCTGTAGATCCGATGACAACGATGGTGACGGCGATTGTTTCACGTGACCACGTGCAAAGAGGAACCACCATAGCAGTCCTTGTGTTCGGGGACACGTATGTGTGAAGGTGACCATGAATGGCAACTCGCAGGAGGGCTTCTGCTGTTTTTAATCCGCACACTGCATGTGCCGACGTGCATCGCTTGACAGTTTCATGCAGGTGGCCGCGGCGATGAATATCCACCGGCTCGCCAAGAGACGGTGTGACTCAGGTGCTAATTAAAGACGGCCCAGTATACGTAGGCGTGTACACATTCACACACGGCACCAGTAAACGACTCGGTGGGAAATGCACAAATTATGGGATTTCTGCGTGGCACTGTGCCTCTCGGTGCAATCGTTCAATATTGTGGCAAGTTAAATGTTACGCTTGCGCGTGGTTATTATTACGTAGCATGTGCAAATAAATTATATGGGTGCGATGATGTGTCGCCTGCAGACAAATCACCCGCAGTTCCGCCGGGTCTTGTTAAATCTCGGAACTTAAGCAGGGTCGAGCCTGCATAGTGCTTGGATGAGTGAGCATCATGCATAACAGGTGTTAAGAACCCTTTTGAAGATCCGACGGAGGAACACAGGCCCCTTAGTTCCTCTCTGCTGCCATGACAACAGTGGGGACTGCGTCCCAATCACGTCCCAACACCAACCACACGCACGGGAGGAGGGCGTGGATATTTCCTCCATCAATGCAACGATCACGAGACTCGCCAAACTGCGAATGCGGTGAGGTGCAAACCGTCAGGCGTGTCACTGATGGCCACCCAACCTATACATCGCGCGTACTCCGGAGGAAGAAGCGGACTACACTCAGCTACCGCCCCGGATGCTGTGCAGTGGCTTGGACAATAAAAAAAATACAGTTGTAGCCTGTTGCTTTTTTTAAACATCATGACGGAAGAAGAACAACAGGCATTGTAGACTCAAGGACTGCATAGTGGGCAGCAAAATCCAGTGTTCCTGTATTTTTTACGACGGGCTCTTGGAGTGGCCTGCCTAGCTGTGGCCCACGGAGAGATAAAGAGAGCAGAGAGCACGTTAACAAGATGAGAGAGATAACGAGACCCGTGGATATTAGGGAGCTGCAGACCAGAGATGAAGATGAGTGAGATGAAAAGAGCTTGATTAAGGTGGTCCACATGTACAGACATTATAACATTGCAATTCCATATGATATAACATCTGTATACGAGACGCTATGGCATTAAGACGTTGCTCTAACGTGATACTTGAGGTCACGTGACCTGCAAGCATTGGTTAGTTTGGTGTTGTGTAGGAAAGGTAAAGTTGTGACCCTGGAACTGCTTTGCTCCTGCCTCCGCTGGAGCAAACTGTAGAGCGTGTTTGGTCTACTCACCCACGTTGATCGGACATGCTGGAAGAGGTGGGCATACCCACACTAACGTAATATAGCAACCGTCGTTCAACACTAAGTGGTGGTGATGTCACCACGGTGCTTGTGCCATGCTAGGTGTATTTTGAGGCCATGTGAATTGTCGATGGCTCGCTGGCAGGAGTTCATGGAACAGACCCAGGTGCCATGGGTTGTCTTGACTGCGATGGCTGGCGCTCTACTCACTGTTGTGAGCATCGCTCCCCTGCCCTCCACCGTCGGATTGATATAAAGTACTGTACGTGTACATGCATTAACTCTTAGCAAAGGCCATCATTGTCCCTTGCTTGGCAGAGCAGCTCAGATGCAAGCATGGGCTGTAGTAGTTGTGTGTTAAGCAGATGAGTGGAGTGCTAGAGTCTGGGGTAAGCTTTTGTCCGAGTGTCATCCTGATTTGTTCCACTGTGCACGTCGACAGCCTAAGAGGATTACAGCGCATTTCTTTCACCACCACTGCCATCCTTGAGAGGCTTAGTAGGGCCCTGATCTCATTGAAAACCACTTCATCCCCAACAATGCTGGGCATTATTTACAAGTGAAAACTACCGAATTAATACCCGACTCAAGATCATGTGCGTTTGCGAGTGTGATAAGAGATGTCACGTCGGTATGGCAACTCTGGGGCGTCTCTGATTGGAGGCCACATTCTGCGTTGCGCAATCGTATGGTTCACAGGGAATCTCTCTTACTCTCTCAAATTTCAAGGGTCTCCGCCTGGTTTGTTAAGGCCCCAAGCACCGCAGCAGGCGAAGTTAGGGTCGTCTTTTTGCTCTCGAATGCCTTTTCAAAAAACTAGACATTTGAACCTTATGGCAGGACCCCGGGGGTCCCATAAGCCCCCGGCTCTCGCATAAACTGCGTTGCGACGTCATTTCATGTCTGTTGAAGGCGAACGATACGGCGATCTATTCCTCTCGGCAAGCTCTGCACGATGCGCTAATCAACGTTTTTAAAAGTTTTGTTTCTTCTGCGCATTCGGCCTCGCTGCTGCGCTTGGCCGACACGACATCAGAATGATCCGCGCCAGGTGGGTCGCGGCGTTTGTGTGCGCGGTGGGACGGAGTCGCCACAAATAAATAAATTAATTGCAATTTTGATTTCCGTTTATTCGGGACCCCGGGGTCCCGCCATAAGGTTCATATCGGGGCACCAGGGGTGGCTGGCTTGCCGAACAAATCAACTCATGGAATTCTCGAGGAAGCTGTCCTTCTTATTTGCGGGGCATTTTGAAGATTTATCATTACAGTAGTCCTTCGGTTAACAGTGACATTGGTTAACGGTTTTTCGGTGAATTTTGATTAACGGTTCGTTTACGTTATGCATGCGGGGCGCCAATTTCGGGCCAATCCGAGAATGACGCTTCACGCTTTTAACGTGTAATTCCTGTACTCGATTGACAGTTATTTCGGTTAACGGTAGTTTTTCGTGGAACGGTTTAAAAACGTTCACCGAAGGACTACTGTAATGCATGCAACTCGTTTGTGGAATGTCTTTCGCTTGTTGAGCGAGGTAACATGGGAATATTGCGTGGGGCGGTAACCTGGCCGAGCAGCTGGCACGTCCACTGCTTGTGGTGGAGGTTCGCAGTTTTTCGAGCCCAGCGGCCGCCTTGGTTAATACCGTGGGTGTCTGCGCCATAAAACGTGCGCTGTTTGTTTCACAGTAGGCATTCAAGATCGATCCAGTGAACATTATTAAAAGCAAAAAATAGTACGCCATATTATGCTGGTGTCATGGTTCAGATTTGACCGAATTTTATTAATGACTCGCAAATTGTTTAATTTTAGTAAAGCCATACTAATGCCCCGCTTGCAGGCCAGTGCTGCACAGGGACAGCTGCCAGCAAAGGATACCCTGAGATGTACCGCATGGTAGCCGACGTGTAAACACCAAGTGACAATGACGATGAGAGCGTGCGCGGCGCGTGCTGTGTCTGGCAGGTGTCACCAGATAAGACCCGCTATGCCGTGGGCAGCATCCTGAGCGAGGGAGGAGAGGCCCCGTCGGAGGACCTGTGCAAGCTCTTCGAAAAATTCGGCTTCCGGATCGTCTCCTTCCCGGAGGTCACGCACGTGGTGAAGACCACGTTCCCATACACCACCTTCCTCTCCATCTTCCTGGCCATCTACAGGGTCGGCCCTGTGCTGGGCAACTACATCAAGGTGAGGCGGCAACAACCCTCTCCCACCCAACCCGCCCCCCACCAATCGCATTTGCTCTTTGTACATTCAGTTGGGTGACCTCCAACTCGATCGCTTCGCTGATAATCCTCGCAGTGCTGTGCAGTCACCTCGCAGTTTTCATCTCAGGTGCACTACTGTGGCCGTCTGGGGCACTCTTCCTTTCTATATTGGGAAGCCACTGGAGCTACGCACTTTTAAATCTAGATTGAAAACAAGTTTCTTTAGAACTGCTTTTTGTGTTTAGTTGGTGTTGTCCTTCCCCCACCCCTCCGATCAGCACGGTTGGCTACGTACGGTGTGAAAGAAGTTGAACATACATACACATACATAGACATGTTGGCTGGGAGGAAAGGATGCTTTTTATGCCAAGGTCACACGTGTGACCCATTTCCTTTCTCTTCCTGCCTCTGCCCTCGTGCTACATGGTTTTGGAATTCTCTTCCACTGTCTCCTGCCCCCAGGTGCCTGGAATCCTTGCTGAATTCACAAAATATATCAACTCTTCACTTAACTGCTTCAACAAGGAGTGCTGTTGTTTCCGTTGGTCTCTTGGAGTCTTGGGTTTGTGCTAAAGCAACCGTGATTGACAAACAATCACAGACCCTGATTTTGGAGGATTTTAATATTCATCAACTTATCTTATCTTGTATTAACAATTTAGCGGTCTTCAATTGTCCTGTGTCTGTTATGTGTCCTTGTACAACAGTTTTAAGTGGCTAAAATTTGCTTTCAACATATTCATAAGTTGCATTTATTTGACGATACAATTTTTACTTCGTGCAATTTTCCCATAATTTCAGTTACAATTTTCAAACGCCTGTGACCATTTTTATCCAATTGCTCGATTGTTATCGGCACTTGGGAGCCAAGCCAAGCAAAGTCTAGCCTGGTTCGTGCTTGGATCGTTGATCACCAGGGCTTTTGCCAGGTGTTGTAGACATGGAGCTGCAACGTGGCCATGAGATGGCAGTGCTGAGTATAATCTCCCCTCGTGTGCTTGGGCCTTGCAGTACCCCAGTTCCCTGCCACAGGCCAAATCCTTACTCACGGCAGTGGCCAGACATCCGAATGGAGGACCCCCCGGCGAGAGTTTCTCGGCTAAATAATTGGCTTTTTAAATTTTTTATAAAATCGATCGCTTCATTACATAGTGAATGCATTCAGTCCATTGAGCAGAATTTTCATTTCGCAAAACCTTTTATTGCAAGGTTTCATGAGAATACACAAGCTTGAAAACCTAAATTGTCAGAATACATCAAAGAAAGGTAACCCATTCTCCCACCACCACCACGCAATTGCTCCCAAGTGAAAAATGTGCGATTCGTTCAGGCAGTAAGTCACCATCATAATTGTGTAAAATTGTCACCTTTGATGAATTTTTTCATTAGTGCATGGAGAAAATGACTTAATCGGAAACCTTTCCTGAATTATTTGCCAGTGGGTTCAGAAAGGCACTGCTTTTAGTCAGCGTTTTAAATGACTGAGCCACTGTGAAATTGGCGCGCAATCCATCCCCGGAGCTTTTACAAATGTAATGGTTCACTTAGCAGCAGAGTGATCACATGCCACCCAAGTGCCCTCTGAATACAATGCGTTAAGTGAGCTGTATTTTGACATTTGGCTTGCAAACCCTGTAGCGATTCTAAATTGTTATCACCATTATTATGAAACGGGGTGATGAATTACTCTGTAGGCTTTGCTGTGTGTCGTGTTCAACGCTTGCCAACACAAACTGTTGGTGTTCCGTACTTCGGAGATGCTGTAAGCGCCAATCTTTGACAAGGCAATGGAGCCTGCAGTTATGCCCGCTCGTTTACAAGTGAAATTGATTTTTTTTTTAAGAAACGTACACCCTCGACCGACTCTGTGGCTTTAACTTTCGCACCAAATTCATGTTCTCTGCCGTGAACAATAGCATTAGGGGCCTGGCTGTCCAATTACTTTGAGAATCGATTATGCGACAGATCGGATAACGCAAATATAGTTGGGGCGGAAAAAGGTCACACTTCTGTTCCAGAATGTTCCGCGAGATGCGAGGTGATGGGCATCATCAGGCGCGTCAAGCTGGGCGTGGTTTTTCTCGGGGGAGGGGGGAGCTTCCCGCTTTCAGGAGGCAGGATGTTGGGGTGGCCTGAGTAGTTACCGACAAACAAAAAGTAGTCGATTATAATTTTCTAATTGATTAATCAACATAATTGACTCATGGTCCCAGCTGTAAGTAAAAAAATAAGCTGCATGTCCCCAATGCTTTGCCTTCTGCAAGGATCGTGCTCAGTCGCACTCCGGCACGCGGCCCTCCCTTGCAACGACGTCTCGCGTGACTGCCGAGCCCTCGGATGCCCCTCGCCGTCAATGGCGGGGCGCGGTGGCCCAGCCGCGTGCCAGCGTTGCCGGCTGCCTGCGGGTTAAACGCTCCATCGCCGGGGCCTCGTCCTTCATCCCGCGTTTTTTCTGCTCTCTTATGGCCAAGTCAGCAGCTGTTTCGGGCGCATCTGTTTTTTGCTGAGCAGGGGAAAGTTTGCTTTGCCCGTGCCTACGGCGCTTGCGGGCAGAATCTAATCAACACGCGGGTGCTTCTGCACGAGCCATAAATATTTTAGGGACGCCGCGTTGAGTGTAGGCGCCTGGTTTTGGAGGTGGCATGTTTGCAAGTGAGACCGTGCTTTGCGTCTCTTAAGCTATGCCGTGTTGCATGAATTGGAATTATTAGCGCCTCGTACGTGTTTTTTTTTTATCTTCGGACATTTGCTCTATTGACTTTCTACTGTGCAGTGTTGCTGATGTAAGCAATGTTCCAGTGAATGGACTGACGTCCCCTTGAGTGTTAAGCCATTGCAAATTGTGGTATTTGGGTTTTACTTCAATGTTACTGCACGCTTGTCAAAAAAATCAATGCATTGTTTTTACAGTGAAAGTAGATGCATATGAATGTATACATTCAGATATCAACTCACTGTGCGTTTTTGTGAAGCTTTATAAGTAATAGACAAATATATACATCTCCGTTTGCCCCCTGGCTTAAAAATGTAACGTATTTCTTTGGGTCTATCATCAATCTGTGGTGTTTCAAGCAAATTAACTCGCCCTTACAGGTCTCATCAGCAGTCAGGCTACAATTACGTGGTGTGTGTCCACCACCAATTCGGTGGACTTCTTCTACGTGTTCCACGGATATATTTCATGAATTTGGTAAGATTTTGATTTAAAGCTTTCGTGACTGCAGGGATTCATATTCTTGGTTCTTTCGGTAAAGTCACGTAGAAGGGAAACAATAAAATAATAAAAATATAAAGCAATCAAACAATAATTTTATTGTTTTATATAAAACAATAAAACAATTATTGTATTGTTTTATATAAAACAATAATTTTATTTTTTATATTTTTATTATTTTATTGTTTCCCTTCTACGTGACTTTACCGAAAGAACCAAGAATATGAATTTGGTAAGGTTATTCATAATAAAGGTTTTTGGGTTAGATCGCGTTATTTATAAATGTGTCGTAACCCTCCACCACCCGACACGGCCAATCAGCAAAATAAAGTGTCACGTTGACAAAAGACAAATAGTTCACTACTTTAGCCCACCGGTGTGTTGAAGAGTGAATCCACAACATTTACAGTTTGAATACGACGTTTCGCTGGTAATTACATCCAGCATCATCTGGCAATTCGCCAGAATGGTATCACCCTCACTTGCTCCTGGTCTTAAATAGAACAGCAGGGTGACGTCATCATTTAACTCATTTCAGGTGCAGTGATTTGAGGCGGAGGGGGGGGGGTATTGTAATTATATAATCGATTGGTAATCAGACAATGGTTATGATGAGTAATGAGTTGTAGATTAGTAATTAGTTGTAATGTGTGTTATTGTGATTATATGCTACTTTAGTAATCCGTTAATTAATGTTTCCCCTATAAGGAATTGTAATATGTATTATTTAATAATACGCGTCCAAGCCACACTAAGCCTATAGCTATCAGAACGATTAAAGTTATTTCTGTTTCTCTCAAATTCAATGGATTATTTAATTAGTTTTTGCCAGTAACAATTAGTTTTACACAACACTTCAACGTTATCAAAATCAATTGAGTGTCCTTGTTGACAAGCATGTTCTGCCACTGCCGACAGTTGTGTTTGAGATAATTTAATATTTCTTTGGTGTTCTTTTGGTCTTATGCTGATGTTACGTCCCGTCTGTCCAATATAGCATCTGCCACAAAAACAGTTAATCCGATATACACCTTCTGTTGATAATTTAGGTAATTCGTCTTTCGTGCAAGATACTAGTTTTAGAATTTTGTGTACTGTACCAAATCTTACTGTAATGTTTTGGTAAGGTTATGTTTGAATAGATGAACCACCCGCTGCGCAGCGTAAACCGGTTAGAAGTGCCTCCGCATAACGACATTGGACAGAAAAACAAAAACGGTGGAAAAATAATTTCCACCGTTGATCTCGTAAGTTGTTAAGCTCCAATCCCGCCCTGCATGATCGGTGCAGGCGAGAGACGGGTGCACCTTCTGAAGTCCCAGGAGGAGGAGTTTGGGCGAATACGCTCTGGGCCACTAACCCAGCACTGCCAGTTGGTGTGCCCAGGAATTCTTATAATTAGTGCACTGGCAGTGATGCATCTGCTGCCCGTATGCTCGAGGGCGAGAAAATAGCCAGCTATTGCCCCCCGCCCCTCACCCCCCGCTGCCCACCACCACCCCCCCCATTCACGATTCTATACGTTGCCACAGTTGCATTGAAGAATCATTGTTTTTTGTATTTACACTGCAGTGCATGGTAGTATACCTCTAGTGGTTGCAGGGGTCACATCAACCAGTAACTTGCCAAATATATATAAACGAAACACAACTGATTATGACTTGCGCGAGCCAATGCTTTGTGTATTATGAGCAGAATCATTAATTTCGGATGAGGAATTGATGCATCGCTATACCCCCTGATTATCGTAACCAGCCCAGCCCCCC